CCAAAAAAAATGACAATTTATCCATGTGGAAGCCCGTTTGTTTGACTGACCCCCGGACTACAACAGCTTCATAATGATTTGAATGGTTGATTTCTGCAATTCTACTAGCAAACCCCTTGAATATTATATTAATAACCTTAAAAAGAAGCTCTAGCTATTTGTTATTTCTGTTTCTAACTCTTTTTGTATATTGGACAGCTTACCGTCACGTTCCTGATTTTTTAAAGTTTGTGTTTATAGGGAGCCTACAACCCCCTCCGTTTACGTCTGCTTTATTGTCCAACGAAACTGTTTGAAAACCAGTCCCGGGTTCGGACCAGTCAAGGGTTCGGACCGTCAAAGGGGCCGGACCAGTCGATCTGCTCTGATCAGTGGGTCACTTATTTAAAACATACTGGTCGGTGATTTGAGCTAACACATGAAGGATCTATGGGAAAATTTTCTACCCGGAGTAATATGTGATTTGACTGATAAAAAAAGTATAACTTGCGTGTTGAGAGCCGGTGAATCTGGCAGCTCCCACAATTTACGAACGGTCACCCCCTTGGTTTATCAATCGCTGTATCTGGCTTTTCTATTTTTTTTTCCGTCTCCACCGCAAAAATGCTATATTATCACTATAGTTGACTGGTTTCAAATTTTGGAGGAAGGACGCTTTTTTTTGTAGTAATAATTGCTTCTCGTTGTGTATATTGCGACCGCTGGTAACTACAGGTTATATGAAATTCACAGTAACGTCTCGTATTTCAAGAAAAGAAACTAATGAAAGTCACTCCACTCCACTAAGTACCATTATAATACTGGTTAGTTCTACTACAAAACTGTATTCTGCTATTCACTGGTATCACTAGATTATATGCGAGTACACTAGAGCCAGGAAGATTATTAAAAACAGCTGACCCGTGGTAAGTTTCTGGCGACTTCTGGCACCTGCCCCTATAGGCTTATCACTTCATTTACAAATTCACCTGTTTTTCAAATGACACTTTAGCCTTTATCATCATATACTAGGGGGCACTGTAGTATACACTATACACTATGTATACTCAATGATTCAGGGAGACTTTCTTTTCCTCTGACATGAAAAGTTCAATTATTATTATTTTTTTCCACACGGGACACAGGCCTATGATTCCCCTCTGGCAGTAAACTCTGCTACGCAGTGCACACTAATTCTCCTTTTTTGACTCGTATATAATGTTTTTCCCCCCAAGATTGGTTCCAGGCGCTAGAGGGATGTATCGTATAGGATTGATGACACAAATTAAAGTTCTAGCACGTAAGAGCGACCGTGAAAACACGAGAAAACCGGGAGCACAACGAGGCACTATAGCTTCGGAAATTAAATAATTTCCACAATATCTTTAAATTTACATAAATGCAGTTTATCTGGAGAGAGTTCCGGGGGTCAACGCCCCCGCGGCCCGGTCTGTGACCAGGCCTCCTTAGGTCAGTGTCCCAGGATGCGACCCACACCAGTCGACTAACACCCAGGTACCCATTTTACTGATGGGGAACATAGACAACAGGTGGAAAGAAACACGCCCAATGTTTCTACTCTGGCTGGGAATCGAACCCAGGCCCTCACCGTGTGAAGCGAGAGCGTTAACCACCAGGCCACCATTTTTTCCTGGATTAATATACAGGGTTTTCCAGTCCGAAAGCTGATTTTTTTTACTAATTTTGTATTAACTGAGTATGTCCCAAATAAGAGTTTGTGTTAATGGTCCCTTATTGTCATTTTCACCCAGTCCTCCATCATTGAAGGCTCTTGACTCATAATGACTCCAACAACATGCTCATTGGAGAAGCCAGGTATAGATACTCAAAAATTAGCCAAGAAGAGTACCCAGAAGGAGAATGTAGAATATAACTTTGGTATAACTGTGTCTAGTATTAGGAATAATATTAGGAGAGAAGTAAATAATAAAAATGATTGTTATAGGAATGCAGTTAGAAGCCTGAGTAGATCTATAACCCACTATGATAACATGAACGTAGATAAGTATGATTATGGAGCAACGTGCAATGTGAACAGACTGACTGATGTTGTAGTGGCCAGGCTTAGGCTTGGTTACAAGTACTTCTGGCAGTTTGGGAGACACACAGATGATGATCAAACTAAATGTAAATTATGTGATCAGGCATATGGTCACTCTCTTGAACACTATGTGCTTAATTGTCCACTTATTGAGAAATACAGAAAACAGACAGTATAATACTATGTGACATGTCAAGATATCTTATTAATGAAAAAAGATACCAGATATACTAAGCAAATTTCCTAAATTTGCTTGCAAAGATTTAAATGAATATAGATATGTAATATAAATCCATATGATTCCTGTTAACCCTTTGGGGCCTAGTTCCTAGGCCTTTTGTGTATCCATGTGCTCTCGCGCTACCGTCCACAGGATGGATATGGGGTGCACAATAAACTAGCCACTTCGGTGGCAAAATCTAAAAAATCTCCAAACGTTCATACTTTCATCTTCCATAACAGTCTCTCTCACTTTCCCATTAATCTTCCTGAACAGTTATTCCCTCATGTAGTTCAAAATTCCCTAAACATTTACCTAACATCTGGCAACCTTTCATCTACATTCCTTACACCATAAGGTATAAACATACGGTACAATTACCCACTCTTATTGTAAACCACACAATTCTTGAATGAATTTAAACATTTAATGTTCCTTCTTTTTTTCCAAATTATTCATTCATATTATTGCCGTGCCTTATTTTGCTCTTACACACAAAACACAACACACACACACACACACACACACAACACACAACACACACACACACACACACACATACAAACCACACACAGACACAATATAGTTTAGATGGCCCAAAGTCTGCAAAACCCCACTCAAGGAAAAAGATCTGGGGGTGAGTATAAACACCGACATATCTCCTGACGCGCACATCAATCAATAACTGCTGCAGCATACGGCCCCCTGGCAAACCTACGGATAGCGTTCCCTACCCCCAGTAAGGAGTCGTTCAAGACTCTGTATACCATTTACGTCAGGCCCATAATGGGGTATGGGAGCACCAGTTTGAAATCCGCACCTAGTCAAGCACGTCAAGAAATTAGAGAAAGTGCAAAGGTTGCAACAAGACTAGTCCAGAGCTACGGGGATTGCCTACGAAGAAAGGTTAGGGAAATCGGCCTGACGACACTGGAGGCCAGGAGGGTCAGGGGAGACAGATAACGACATAAAAATACTGCACGGAATAGACGAGGTGGACCAAGACGGGATGTTCCAGAGATGGGACACAGACACAAGAGGTCCAATTGGAAGTTGAAGACTCAGATGAATCAAAGGGATGTTAGGAAGTATTTTTTCCCGTCATAGAGTAGTCAAGCCGTGGAATAGCCCAGAAAGTGAAGTAGTGGAGGCGGGAAAACCTACATAGGGAGAGAGAGGACCTAGTAGCAATCAGTGAAGAGGCGGGGCCAGAGCTGTGACTCGACCCCTGCAACCCCAAATAGGTGAGTACTCAACAACACACACACAAAAGTTTCACAAAACACATGAGGAAATTAAATCTTCATCAGAGTACAAAACAAATTCTGCCACAAAATAGAGCGAAACCCAACGTCAAAGACCTGGGAGTGATTATGTCGGAGGATCTCACCTTCAAGGACCATAACATTGTATCAATCGCATTGCTAGAAAATGAAGGATGGATAATGAGAACCTTCAAAAATAGGGAGGCCAAGCCCATGATGACACTTTCAGGTCACTTGTTCTATCTAGGCTGGAATTTTTGCTGCACTCTAACAGCACCCTTTCAAGGCAGGTGAAATTGCCGACCTAGAAAATGTACAGAGAACTTTCACGGCGCGCATAACGGAGATAAAACACCTCAATTACTGGGAGCGCTTGAGGTTTCTAAACCTGTATTCCTGGAACGCAGGAGGGAGGATACATATTTTATACACCTGGGAAAAACCTAGAGGGACTAGTACCGAACTTGCACACCCAAAATCACTCACTACGAAAGCAAAAGACTTGGCAGACGATGCACCATCCCCCCAATGAAAAGCAGGGGTGTCACTAGCACGTTAAGAGACCATACAATAAGTGTCAGGGGCCCGAGACTGTTCAACTGCCTCCCAGCACACATAAGGGGGATTACCAACAGACCCCTGGCAGTCTTCAAGCTGGCACTGGACAAGCACCTAAAGTCAGTTCCTGATCAGCCGGGCTGTGGCTCGTACGTTGGTTTGCGTGCAGCCAGCAGCAACAGCCTGGTTGATCAAGCGCTGATCCACCAGGAGGCCTGGTCACAGACCGGGCCGCGGGGGCGTTGACCCCCGAAACTCTCTCCAGGTAAACTCCAGGTAAACACAATTCTTGATGCATAACCTTCAAAGTATCATTTGACTTATTTGACTGAATACATTTTTTTCCATTTTCTCCCCTTTTTTTGTCATTGTGCACCTTACATTCAGCAGTACACTTATCTTTACTTTTCTTTGTATTTCCTAATAGTTCGTAATCCTTGAATTTTTCATTTTCAGTTTAGGAGGCAAAGTGTGATATTGGACCATGAAGGTGATGATGCCCTTAACCATTAACAGATGTCACCCATCTTATCATTACTCTTGAATTACACAATATTTTTATGATAGGCATGAACTCGGATAAAATTTATTATTGGGTATGACTGTAGTTAACTAATTCACTTGTTTTGTGTGAAGCAGCATGAAATTAAAAGATTTATGAACACCAGAATGTTACTGTTAATATGTACTGCTGTGTTAAAAGGTTATTTAGACATTAAAAGGGATATTTTAAATTTTCAGTTACAACAGCAGTGGTCAAGCATTACAGTAGTTTGGTCAATGTATATTTGTTAAGGTGGAATTTTCTGGTTTATGCTAATCTCAAGGAAGAGAAACCTCTTTGGTAATGGAAGCATTATTCATCACCTCTGTATATTTGAGCAGTGTTTTGAAATACTTTTTTTTCCCCTTACAGAAAATTACATTCTCCAGCAAGTAAAAAGTGCCTTACCTTTGCTGATGTTCCCTTTCATTTACCTGAGCACAGTGGAAAAGATGATCAAATGCAGAGTCAAGGGATGAAGCAGGGAAATTTTGTGTCAGACTCTGCCAATTGTAAATTGCTTACCGTACATTCAGGACGTAAATCAAGATCACTCTCAAGCTCTAAGTCCAGTGTATACAATGCTGACAGAAGCAGAAAAACATGTCATTCACAAAGTTCAGCAAGTAAGAAAGAAGAACCACTTCCTAAACAACTTCAGCATTCCCCAACTCTCAGAAACACAAATGAGGAGCTTAACAAAGACTCCTATTACTTGACTGCCTGTAGTGAATATGCTGATAGTAATACACATAACTTAAACTTTAAAGAAGGAGAAAATAGGTCCTTAAAAAGGAGCCATAGTGATTTGGGGTTAAATACTATTAATTGTATTAAAACTAAAATCTTCCATGTCAGCAATGATCATCAACATAGCAATATTGCTGCCAACTTCCCTACTTCAGAAGTATATGATAACTTCAACCAACCTTCCAAGGATGAGGGAGTAGAGTCTACCACATCAGGAAACTCACAGTCTACTTACATCACATCTAACATCTTGTATAAAAGAGCTGGAAATTTCAGTACTGAGCAACAAGGTTTCTTTAACTTCCTTAGTGAGAATGGTGAAAAACAAAGTTTGCCTTTTTTATGTGGTACGGAAATATGTACACCACCAAGATACCCAAGAAAATCACTTCCATTTAGTAGCCCATCAGATTTCTTAACTAAATTTGCTCCTGCAGACACATACAAGTTGTCAGGTACTAGTTCAGCAGAGAATCCCCTATCACAAGAAGATTGTAAAATTCCAGATCATTTGCAGGGATCGGCTAAGAGTGGTATAGAAACCAATTTGTCAGACTTGTCCCTCCTGCCTTCAAAGATAGGTATTAGTACTGGTGTAGATGAGGATCCCGTATGTAATGAAGACTTCAAGGAACTCTGTGAATATAAGTTCCAAGAAAAATCATATCTCGGCTATTACACAAACATACCCGTGCAGAGACCACCGAATGTCATCCAACAGTTGCACACACTGGCACTAAAAACAGATACACCAAAGCAACCACCAGCTAGTGTGCAATCTGCTCTTCCTCTACAATTAGAAACCGCTAGTATTAAGTCACACATGCTTGACAAACAGCCCAATGTAATCAGTATTCAATATAACAGAGAGGGTAATAGTTTTCGTTGTGGTCAGCAAATATCAGTAAATCGGCAGCTTCCGTTAAATGACCTCTCACAAGATTTGCAACCTGGCACTACAAATCCACTCGTTGAAATCCCCATCAGATCATACTTAAGATCCCCAAATCCATTAGTCTCGCAGAATTTAGAACTCGGTACATCAGAAGTTGGAACTCCTAAACCGGCACTGAAAGTAAATGTAGCATTTTCACCAACTGAAACATTGGAATGTTTTGAAACTGAATCATTCATCACTCCAGTAGGAAGGCACTATATATTACCTGTAGAAGCTCCTAGGAAAACTTTGCATCCAACGACCAGACAACATCCGCCTCGATGCAGACGCAGCCTTGCCAGGTAATGTTTATCCTTGATACTGTAATTAGCATCACATTTTCTTTGGGTTAAGAATTGAAGATATCTTTAGAAGACCATAAATACATATCAGTATGTGCAGTCAAACATTCCTTATTCATTTATAGTAAACTGTTATTATTTTTATATTCATGGGTGGAGATCTAAATCCATAAGGATTATACAGCACCTGAGGAAATGGTGGTTAATCAGATTTAATCCAAGGGATGGAGGGCAGGACCAATTCCTTGGATCAAAAGTTTCTCACCTTTCATTGAGGGACTAAGAACCCTTTTATGTTATGAATATGCTCATGGATAAATGGTAAACCCGTAAGGGTTGTATTGCACCACACTGTAGAAGTAATAAGAATGGCAGAAAGCGATGGTGGTGCTGAGGAAGGTACATTAGCAAAAACAAAGAAGGGGGTCACAGGTAATGTAGCAAAGCAGAGAAAGAGTTTGCATTAAATGGGACTATCAGAGAAGACTATTTCATAAGGGGCAGTGGCTTTAGCACTAGCAATGGCAGGGTTACCAACAGCCAAGGACCCCAGTGAATATAAGTCACTTCGACTTTTTTGTATTATACATGTACTAGGTAATCTACACACATGCTGCTATGTATGATAACTTACGTAACTGTATTTATGTGTACCTGTACCTGAATAAACTTATTTTACAGCAGCTGTGAAGGCATCACAATATAATTGCGCCACAGTAGATTTTGACAAATGAGGAATTTTATCCACTGTTTAAGGTGATAAGAAAGGAATAATATAATCAAATTAAGCGTTAAATCCGAGAGGGTCATGTAGCGCTGGATAAGAAAAATGAGGATTGGGGGTATTCAGGTTTGATCCAAGAAAGGAAGTTCTAATTCCTCAGAACAAAATGCCTTTCACCTCGGAAAGAAACCTTGAAGGGTTACCCCTAAAACTGAATTTAATTTTTGACTTTCTTAACTGCATGTGGCATCCACAAGGTTATGTCTTCATTTTCATATGTAGTGTTTTATATGGAGACAAGAAACCAAACTTTATTAAAAAATATAAACAAGTTATTTAATTTTGCCAGATGTGTGGTCTACTTTTCTCATTATTGTGACGTCTGAATGTGAAATACGGTTGATAAAATTGTAAATGTTGTTACAAATTTGATCTAACTTGCAGTATGCTGAAGAGTATGTATCCAACTTGCAGTATACTGAGAGACGTTTTCATTAACAATAGCATTCTTTGTAGGCTGTTTGATGAGAAAGATGCATGCGTTACCCCAGTAGCTGATACTCCACCAGATACTCCCAATAGGTAAGGATTTTCCTGATCAGCATTATTATTATAATCATGGAAAACTCTTAATTTTGTGAGTTCATACACCACCTGGGGAAAGGGAGGTACTCGTGATTCCAGGAAGGAAAGGGCAGCGCCAGTTCCTTGGATCAAGAGACCTCCCTACGATTTCCTTAGCCTTTAATCGTTTAATAAATTTTCAAATTACAGTATTTCAAATACTACTACTGTACTTTTTTCAGTACCAAATATAGCTAATAAATCATGCACTTTTTGTTGATTCCCCTTTTATGAAGTATAGCACTGTACGTAAATAAACAATTGTGCAATTTTAAGTAATCTTAGAATTTTGCTATTCAAAAGTATACAGTATTCATAAATGTACTGCATACAGTATTCATAAATAAGTACTGTATACAGTATTCATAAATAAGTACTGTATACTCTAATTTTATTTAATGACAGTGGGA